AGCCTCTTCTTGACTTTGGCTTTCTTCTCCCCAGGGGGTCACTTACCCCGCCTGCCACGGGATCTGGAGCAAATGGGCCCCTCCCTTAGAGCGGAGCCGCCTGGCGACCACAGCCTTTTGTGGTGAGAGGAAGGTGCTGGGATTTAGATTTGTGGGTCTGAAAGAGGAGGGGGTTTGGGGAAGGAGGGGGTTGGGCACTGGCCGGATATCTGTGGAAAGAGGGGCTGTGGCTTGCACTTTTGTCTCCTGGAAAGACGAGGCTGGGGATCCGAACCCCTGGATCCGGGGGGTAGCTAGGTCTGCTCTCTCTCCCGCACCCCGCCACCCCCATCAGGTTCCTACGCCGGGGCGGTGGTGGCCATGCCTCTCGCCGGGGTCCTGGTGCAGTACTCAGGCTGGAGCTCTGTGTTCTACGTCTACGGTGAGGGCCCCGGGCGCCGGGGTTCGGGGGGTGCTGGGCCAGAGCGAGGCCGGTCGTCACGTCGCTTCCATCCCCCTCCTGACCCTCTCCAGGCAGCTTCGGGATCTTCTGGTACCTGTTCTGGCTGCTCGTCTCTTATGAGTCCCCGGCGCTGCACCCCAGCATTTCAGAAGAGGAGCGCAAGTACATCGAAGAAGCCATCGGCGAGAGCGCCAAACTCATGAACCCCCTCATGGTCCGAGCCAAGCCTGCGGGGTGGGGGCGCGGTGGGGCCGGGAGAGAGATCCAAGCAGGGAGGCAGGAGAAAGGGGGCTTAGAACCCGCACAGCGTGTAGGTCACGGTGCGTTCCCCGACTAGGGAGACCTGATGGGAACGCCCAGTGGGCGGGGCCAGAACCTGGGAGGCGGGGTTAACGCCGGGGGCGGGCCCGATTAGCAGGTGCTGGGGGCGGGGCTAGGTCGCCAGCGGGGCGGGACCCCTGGTGGGCGTGGTTAAACCAGCAGAGGCGGGACTAGAATGTGGGGTTTTGCTTAGACCTGGTGGTGAGTGAGGCTAGATTTAGGTATCGATATTGAATGGGAAGATTCCTGGACCCACCCTTAAGGGTCCCTGAGGGTCACCGAGGCCCGACACATGCGAACCGGAGGGGCCACAGTAAATCAGGAGCCTGCATTCCTGAAGTGTCACTCGCAGTGGTTCTCAACCTTCTGGCCCTTTAAATACAGTTCCTCATGCTGTGACCCAACCATAACATCATTTCCGTTGCTACTTCATAACTGTCATGTTGCTACTGTGATGAATCGTCATGTAAATATCCGATATGCAGGATGGTCTTAGGCGACCCCTGTGAAAGGGTCCTTCGACCGCCGAAGGGGTCTCGACCCACAGGTTGAGAACCGCTACCCAGAGGCTAGGGTGCAGGGCCCCCGCAGGGACATGGGCTGGCGCCCCTGGGAGTTTTAATGAAGTGGGGAAACGGGGGTCTCTGCGGGACTGTAGTGAGGCTCCGGAAGGGACACGGAGAGCCCCTGGCTCCTGTCTCAGCGGCCCCTGCTCTCGCCCCCACAGAAGTTTAAAGCACCCTGGCGGCGCTTCTTCACCTCCATGCCCGTCTATGCCATCATCGTGGCCAACTTCTGCCGCAGCTGGACGTTCTACCTGCTCCTCATCTCCCAGCCCGCCTATTTCGAAGAAGTGTTCGGCTTCGAGATCAGCAAGGTTGGACCCGGGGACGGGTGGTGGGAAGGGGGAGGGCAGGGGGCGCGGCGGGGCTGAGAGAGAAGGAGCGGAGCGTTGGTCCCAAGGGGGTGGAATGAGGGACAGGGAGGAGCCGGTTTAACTATGGTTCAGTCTTTTATAAGATCCAGCTTAGGTAAAATTGAGTTCATATTTAGTTTGGGTTTAGTGAGGTATATTTATGTGATTTTATTTTAGTCACTTTGGTATAGTTAAGCGATTGCTAGCCATCAGTGTATGAATTAATTCTGTGGTCCTTGGAAACTAAAACATGGATACTAGAGTAAAACCTAGGTTTGAAATGTATAGAATATGAAGCTGATACATGGAAAATTCTTTCAATCATCAGACATGTTTAATTGTTAGTGGAGAATACAGTTCTCATCAACACCTAGTCAAAAGGAAAAGTGCTCTGCTGTCAGGAATATATTTGACAATGCAGTATATATAAATAAAAAAGCAGAATATATTTAAAACGGGGGCGGGTCCGCGAAGGGGTAGGTGGGGTCCGAGGGCCGAACAGGGGTGTGTCCAAAAAGGCGGAGTCAAGATGAGGCTGGGACAGAAGTCCCGGGCCTCGGGGGGCAGCGTGGATGGCTGTGCAGGTGGAGCAGAGGCGAGACCTAGTTGGGCTGGAAGCGCGGGGAAGAGGGGCTGTGAGTGGGTGACCTGGGGAGACGCGGTGTAGCCGGCTACTGCCCGGGGGGCGGGGGTGGACAGAGAGAGAAGGGGTGAATGTGCCCCGGGGGTGGGGCTGGGACTGACCGGAATTGAACCTGGGACCCTTTGGTCCAAAGGCTGACGCTCTATCCACTGGGCCAAACCAGCTAGGGCAAGAAGATATTTCTTAAAATTCCTACTTTTTCCTAAGAATAGTAAAATGCTGCTGGTGGTGGGCTACTCGCACTCCAAGGGCGTGGCCATCTCCTTCCTGGTCCTCGCCGTGGGCTTCAGCGGCTTCGCCATCTCTGGTGAGAACCGCGGTCGGCAGCCCGGGGGGGAGTCTGGACGGCGCCGTGGGGAGCTTCCTGGCTCAGGAAGGGGGCCTCCCAGCCACGCCAAACGCGGACTAGGAGGCGCAGCGGGGAGCGGGGAGGGCCGGCTCAGAGGGAGGGAGACTCAGCGTGCCGCCTCCTGGCTCATCTTGTCAGGGTTCAATGTGAACCACCTGGACATCGCCCCGCGCTATGCCAGCATCCTCATGGGCATCTCCAACGGCGTGGGCACGCTGTCGGGCATGGTGTGCCCCATCATCGTGGGCGCCATGACCAAGCACAAGGTGGGTGCCTTCGCCCTGACCCGTTGGCCCTCCACCTCTGTGCTCGGTGCCCCCCTGACGCGGGCGGCCTCCCTGGGCTCCACCCCTGCCCCCTGCAGGTGTCTTTCAGCTTCTCTCTAGATCTGTCTCCCTTTCTCTGGGCCTCCCCTATCCCTCTAGGGCTTTCTCTCTTAAATATATTTTTATTTATTTTTAAATATATTTTTATTGTGATTTCAAAGAGGAAAGGAGAGGGAGAGATAGATAAGAGAGAATTATTGATTGGATGCCTCCTGTATGCCTCCTACTGGGGATCGAGCCCACAACCCAGGAATGTGCCCCTGAGATCTCGGGACCCTTCAGTCCGCTCTTCACTTCCTGTTTCTCTGGCTTCCAACAGACTCGGGAGGAGTGGCAGTACGTGTTCCTAATCGCCTCGCTGGTGCACTATGGTGGGGTCATCTTCTATGGGATCTTCGCTTCCGGAGAGAAGCAGCCGTGGGCGGAGCCTGAGGAGATGAGCGAGGAGAAGTGTGGCTTTGTTGGCCACGACCAGCTGGCCGGCAGTGATGAAAGCGAAATGGAGGATGAGGCTGAGCCCCCTGGGGCGCCCCCTGCTCCCCCTCCCTCCTATGGGGCCATACACAGCACAGTGCTGCCCCCAAGACCCCCACCCCCTGTCCGGGGCTACTGATCATGTGCCTCCCACTGGATGGCAGTTTCCAGAACCTCCATTCCACACATCTCTGGCCTGAGTGACAGTGTCAAGGAAGCCCAGTCCTCTCTGTCCTGCCTCAGGCCTAGGAAGCACTCTCCCTTGCTCCCAGTGCTGTCGAATCCCCTTCCTTTCCCAATTGCCTCTCAGGGTAGTGAAGCTGCGAATGGCAGTTTCAAGAATACCCAGATTTCCCTAAGGGTTCCCTTCTCCACTTGTTTTGCCTCAGTGGTTCCAAACCTCTCCTTTCAGGGCTTTATTTCCATGGACAGTTCGGTCTCTCACTCTCTCTTGTGGTTTTGAGGCAACTTCTCCCCTTCTTTTAACCCCAGGGACCCTGAGTTACTTGGCCCCCCCTCTTCTCTCAGAAAAATTCAAGGTCTTCCTCTAGAGGTTTCAAATCTCTCCTAAATCTATTCTGCATTTTTTTTCAGGTTGGTTTAGCCAATCACCCATCCCCACTATTTTAGAGATCGATTCTCACCAGCGTTTCTGAGGGAAAATGGTGGTTTCAAGACCCCCCCCCCAACCTCTTCACCCTTCCCTCCCCTCCACCAGCAGATTCTGCTGAAACACCAAATCCCCAAGACCTTCTCCCTAGCTTAGCGCAATGTCTGGGGACACCACCCAGACGGCAGGTTTATCAGTACGCCTCACTCCACCCCTATGCACTTTTTCGGACAGTTTTCAGGGTTAAATAGTGGCTGCTCAAGTTCATCAGTGGTTTGAAGCCACCACCATTGAACTTCCCCACGGTGGTTTCAACATGTCCCCCTCCCCCCCAGCTCCTTGCACTTTATTCTCCTGGGTGGTTTCAAACCACCCTCATTTTCTCAGTGGCCATTTCTCGTGTCCCTCAGGGGCTAAATGACTCAAATTCGGGGATGCTACCCTCTCAGACACCTTTCTTTTGGCTTAGAATTTGGGGAACACATATAAGAGAAGTCACAGAATCCCCGGAAAGGGAAGGGGGCTGGGGCGAGAGGTGTTTTCCCCGGGGCAGGGTGCCTCTGTGTGTGTCTGTCTCTGTGACTGTAAACCCTGCCCTGCCCCACTCCCAATAAAGTGCTTTGGTGGACACACCCAGGCCTCCTCATTGGACCCGTGGCCGTGGGAGTCCCAGCCCCCCAGCCCTCCCCTCCTGCAGACCCGGAGTTCGGAGTTCGAGGGCCCTCCTCCCCCAGGAATCAGGCCAGAGCAGGTGGCTAGGAGGGAGGGATCGCGTGATTTATTGGGCCTCAGCGAGGGCATCTCTGCTGTGGGCTCTATCTGAGGGCACCGCTACTAGCAAAGCATGCCGGGAGGGTAGGATGTCTGAGGATGGCGCACGCCTGGAGGGGCCGGGAGGGGCTCACACGA